TTATCGGTTAACATACTGGTTAACTGCATAAACCTCTCCCTTCCCCCATGTGCTCTTAATTTAAAATTCAGATTGGCAGGCTGGCTTAGTCCCAGCCCACTGATTTGAGTTTTAGATGAAGAGCATGCAGAAAAGCCCCCTGCCATCCTACGCTGCTGCCTCTGATACAGGTGTAAAATCCTGCTCCCGCTTACAGGGGTGCCCAGGTTCCAAGCAGACAGAGGCTGCTCCATAGGATGCCTGAGCAGCCTCTTCTGCAGTGAGCTTGGGTCCCCTGCACATGGGGGCTGCTGTCACCCCTGCTGCCTCTGATATAGAGGCAGCAGCGCGGGGATGGCAGGGGCTCCCCTGGAAAGGGGTTGGGAGTGCACTGGGGGGAACACTGAGTAACTGTGTAACCGCAAAGAATTTTAGAGGTTACACAATTATTGAAACACATAATTTCTAACATCCCTACTATCCACCTCTTCTCCTTGGTTAGGTGGTCTGTAATCAGGGGCAATGCAGGATGGGAGCACAGGGCATCAGGTGCATCCTCAAGGTGGAAGGAGCCAGCCAGCAGTAGGTGTCTGTGACCCCCCTCCCTGCCCCCCCACTCACCAGCAGCAAGGGCAGGGGAAGCACAGCAGGGCAGTCCCAGCTTGTGCTGTTCTCTGACTGTGCCATTCCACTTCTGGGGAGTACAGGCAGCATGAGTTGGAGCTGCCTTGCTGCACTTTGCCCCCTGCTGCCAGTGAGCCCAGGGAGTGGGGGAGCATGATGCAACCCTCTGATGGGGCAGCCAGCAGTGGCACTAGTGAGACCAGATGGGCAGTGCCAGCAGCAAGAGTTTGTGCCTCCTTCCTGCATTCACTGGCAGCTCTGGGAAAAGTGCAACAAGGTGGCTGCAGCTTTCATTGCTCTCTGGCCACACTGCTCCAGGGGAGAGGCAGGACCACCCCAGCACTACTCAGAAGTGGAGTTGCATGGCCAGAGAACAACACAAGCTGGGGCTGCCTTGCTGTGCTTCTCCTCCTCTCATTGCCGGTGAGTGCAGGGGGTTGCAGACCCTTGCTGCCAGCATTGGCCATCCTCTGCCTCGGCTGTGAGCAGCTGTGAGACGTGGTGAGGCCGGGGAGGGGAACAGAAAGGTGGCAGAGCAGTGGGGGTCTGGGGCAGCAGGGTGTGCCCTTTCCCCAGCTGGGATGGGGAGTACATGGCCAGCATCTCCCTTGGGGCTCCCCTCACCAGTCACTCTATCATAGATCTCTACCATTAGAGCTCCCTTTCTTTTTCTGCCTCTTATTCTTACACAGACTCTCAACAAGTTTGTCTTCTATTTTCATCTGAACCTCAGTCTAAGTGTGTACTCTTGCAACACCTCCTCTCTTTTTTCTCTGCCTGTCCTTCCCGAGCAAACTGTACCCTTCCATACCAATATTTCAGTCGTGTGTGTGATTGTCATTGATACTAATCATGTCATAGTTGTGATGATCAACTAGCATTTCTAGTTTTTCCTGCTTATTTCCTCATACTTCTCACTTTAGTATACAGATAAGATACTGATTTGATTTTATCTTATGTTCTTCCTTGTCACTGCTATAATAGTTTATGTTTCACCCCGATTCTGACCCTTCTCCCAAGTCTCCATATTTATGACTTACCTGTGGGCTTTCATTTCCTGCAACCATCAAACCGAGTTTAAAGCCCTCTTCACTAGGTTAGTCGGTCTGTATGCAAATACACTCTCCCCTTCCGCAGTAGACAGACCCTATCTTTGCTTAGCCATCCTTCTTTCTGAAACAGCATCCTGTGATCGAGGAAACCACAGCTCTTCTGGCAACACCATCCTTGCACCAGGCATTCACCTCCAGGATGCATGGTCTCTGCCTGGGTTCCTACCCTTGACTGGAAGGATCGAAGCAAACACCACCTGCGCTCCAAACTCCCTATAGTCACTTCCAGAGCCCTGTAGTCACTTCTGATCTGCTCAGGATCACATTTTACATTATCATTGATGCCCACATGTAGGACCCTGTGCAGATATGAAATGTGTATCCACATCCACAAAAATGAGCCGTGAATACCCGTATTGACATCCGTAGATGCAGATACTCACAGCTATAAAGTGAGTATCTGTACATTTGCAGGGTTCTAGTTACAAAATTTATATCCATATCTGCATCCATAACTGCAAAAATGAGCTGCGGATATCCACATCCATGGATGTGGATATCTCCAGATATGAAGAGGATATCCAAGGATTTGCAGGGCTCTACCCATATGCATGCCTTGGGTAGCATGGAGTAGTAGTTAGAAGCCTGCATGATCCTCAACAATCCCTCCATAATGTTTTGGATACAGGCCCCTGGCAGGCAGCATACCTCCTGAGTTTTCATGTCAGGGCAACAAATGGATGCTTCCATTTCCTACCGAAGGGAGTCACCAACTATCACTACCTCACATTTCCTCCTGTGACTGGTGGCTGCGAGCCTTCCAGCCTTGGGGATACATGGCTTCTCCTGGGGATACAGTGGCCTGGGGAGGGAGGGCCAGTCCTTTGCCACAGCAAAGCAGGAGCCTACAGTAGTAAGAGTTCCCTTGAAAGAGCCATGGGTCTCTTGGTGGTGTAGGTGGCATCACCAAGGATGGTATGAAGTCCCTTGTAGAAGATGCATGTCTTGGGGATGGCGTTAGAACAATAGTTGGCCTCCTTTGCCTTCTAGGATGCCTGCCTCAGCTCATTCATTTTAACATGGCACTGCTACAAGACCCTTTCATGCCCCTTCATATCCACGCCACACTCTGTTCATGGACATCAAAGTTCCTATGCTGGAGAGAAGTTACTGTGCACAGCCTCCTCTTCCCATAGACCCAGAATATCTAACAGATCCAGTGTACTCTGTGTGGCAGCACATCTGCTGTGGAATATTGGTTTGGTCGGCTGGGAACATGCTGTGTGAACTCTGCAAGCTGAGCAGACAGGAAGGAGATTTTAAATCTTCTTTAACTGTGTAGTGTAGACAGGGCTGAACGGAGCTGGATTTCTGCCACACCAGCTGGCTTCAAGTGGTTTCCATCATATATAGTGTTTACAGCAGGGGTGGGGAACTTTTTTGGAGGCAGGGGCCATTGGCCCACAGAAAAATCAGTTGGGAGCTGCACACAAGTGAGAAGCAAAAAAACAGACAAACCCTCACATGCCCCCCAGCTGAAAAAAAAAAAAGACATTCCCTACATTCCCCTTGCACACCAGAGCTTAGGAGACCCAGGTTAGTAGATTTAGTGTGCTTCAGCCCCATGGTGTGGGGGGTGGAGGGCTGGGTGCCCGTGTGTGTTCTCCATTCCCGAGGGGGCAAAGCCGTGAGCCTCAGAAGCTGGATCCAGGCAAGCCAGGGGCAGCATCTGGTCCCCAGACCTTAGATTCCCCCCCACTAATTTAGTTTGGTTCAATAGAGAGGTGATATGGGGGTGGAACAGGAAGAGACAGAGCAGGGGTGAGGTCTGGGATAGGGAATGTCCCAGACCCTGCATCCTCACTAGGGATAGCCCTGCCTGCCCCAACCAGGTGAAAGTGAGTGAGGATGGGACAGAGCAAGTGACCAAGTGAGGGAAGAATGGAGTAGGGCGGGAGAGGCCTGGGGGCAGGGAGTGGCTGGCTCAGAGAAAGGGCAAGGACAGGAGTGTTTAGTTTTATACAATTAGAATGTTGGTAACCCTAAGAATAACCTTGTCACTCTGGCATAAAGGAATATTAACCATGATCAGTTCTTAAAAACACAGAGCTATATTGATCACATAGTTTGAGGATCATGAAGGAATCTAAGGTACATTCTAAGGTAGGGTCTCTGGAGCTTTGGTAGGACAGGATCATGAAGGAATCTAAGGTACATTGGTAGGGTCTCTGGAGCTTTGGTAGGATGCTTCCCTTTTGGATCAGGGAGTGAGGCTGGGCTGGTAAGATACACACACTCCTTCCCCCTCTCCCCATCTTCTCATATGTATGTCCCCTATTAGAAAAAAAACTTTTACAGAAACTCCTTGTGACTCAATTTTTGCCTGTGGGTTTGAGAGCATTGTTTGTACCAATATAATAACAGCTTTGGCACCGCATTCTGCTCCCTGTCTAATATGGTTCTCAGGAAGACAGGAAGGAATAGGGAACCAAATGTCACTGGAAGTAGAAGGATTACACTTTCTCAAAGCAGCTACATTGTGTTCAGCGGATAGGAGCTTTAGCTGCATTTCTACTGGGTTTCCATTACCCTTTGACATCTACAGCTAGTCACTTCTGTACTGAACCTTTGAGCTCTATATTCTGATGCGTTTAGTGAGTCCTGGAATTTAAGGTTGATATTTCCATGTCCTGAATTTCCCTTTTCTCATTCTTGATTACTATGGACATTTTCATGCAAACAGCTGACTTTTATTCCTTCTTGCTGCTTATTCTCCAGCAGAAGGCATGATCCTGCTTGTTGTGGAAATAGTTGTGACACTGTCACATGCAGTGGACTGTAAACCTAACGGTGGTGTATAAGCCTCAGATATTACTTAAAAAACATAGCTCCTGTTTTCACACAAATGCCACTTAGAAATGATGAGGGATGACAAGTAACTAAAATTTAAGATAGGCAGAGCAAAATTTCAAAAAAAGGCTTTTTCATGAGTTGTTAGATCTTTAATATCTTATTTGTAAACACTGTACCCTCCTGTGTGTTGACCTCCAAAGGTAAAATAACAAGATATAAAACCCCCTGGCATTTACTGAATAAAGCAAAATACACATCACCAAGCTGCAGATTTACTTTCTTTTTATTGTTTTTTGACACCAGGATACAATTTGACTCCTAACACCCAATACATTTAATAATAGATTACACCCTTTCTAATGACCTGTTCCCCACACGTCAGCACTGGCCACAGAAAGTTTACTGGTATGGAACAATCCATATCTTTATTGTCAACATGCTCTACCCAGGATGGTGGTATTCTTCCAGGCCACTCTGCTTTAATGGGTGGATTCTGAAGATGCAACAAACAGTATGTTTTATAGCACTTGGCTGAGAACTTTACAAGTGGCTGAAACGTCTGCAGATGAAGAGGAAGAGCAGGCTGAAAATGAAGTGAGGACAGTGATTCTCTTACATGCGCTGTGATGTTATAATTCTAAAGCAAACTCTGCCACAATCCTTTGACTCACTTTACCGCTTTTAATTATGGGCTAATATCAATAACTGAATTCCTAACCCAGACCTGACAGCAGTGGAAGAGGCATGTCCTAGGATCCTTTATTTATTCTGATCTCCCATCTGGAGAAGTTCTAGGTTCTGGAGCTCAGTATGCCAGAGGCCTGGTAGCCATGAGCTGCCTTTGATCCCCAGATCCAAAACAGAGCTTTGCAAAGGATGACAGAAAAAAGAGCTGCAAAGTGAAGAAGTAGCTCCGCTGCAGCCTAAAGAGACATTTACCACAAGAAACAGGCCAGAGTCTGGTCTTGTAGAGTTGGAATATGGTTACTGAAACCTCCCCTCCGACCCCCACTGTTTTCCCAGACCCACCTAACACAATGTAGTAAATGTGCACCTCTCATGGCGCAACATGGAAACCAGGTATGAACACTCTGGCTACATCTACACTACAAGATTTTTGCACAAAAACAGCTGTTTTTGCGCAAAAACCCACGGAGCATCCACACCTCAAGCATGTTTTTGCACAAGAAAATCTACAGTCAATCAACAGAACAGAGGGCTTTTTGTGGTGTAGGTATTCCTCCTTCTACAAGGCATAACTCCTTTTTGTGCTACAGCTTTTGCCCAAAAAGGCATGTGTGGACGCTCCGCAAGGGTTTCTTGTGCAAAAAGAGCCTATCAGAAAAAGCACAGGTGCTCTGATGGCCATTCTGTGAATGGCCATCAGAGCTTTCTTACACAAGAGTGTCCATGCAGTATGGACATTCTCTTGTGCAAAAGCACATTGCAAAAGCAATGTGCTTTGAGGTGTGCATGCGCTTTTGCGTAAGAAGTTTTTGCTCAAGAACTCTTCCGCAAAAGGCTTCTTGCACAAAAACCCTGCAGTGTAGACGTAGCCTCTCCGTGTCCCTTATCATTGATGTAATTATTGGCATCAGCAGGGTGTGAAGGAGGATCATGTAGAGCAGTGTTTCTTAAACTTTTTAAGACCGAGGAACACCAAACAATATTTTTTTATGAGGATTTTTTGTTCAGAAAAAAAAAAAGGAGGGCTGGGGGGAACTTATTGACCAAAAAAAGGGGGGGAGGGATTTTGCCTGCCCCTTTAAGGGTGGCCATTTTGAACTCTGTTGTTCTCCGCAGCACACCTCCAACTGCCTCATGGCACACCAGTGTGCCATGGAACACAGTTTTAAAAAAAAACTGATCTAGCGGGCCTCAGCCAGAGGCATTTGCACAATGTGAGGGGATGGAAAGAAGAGTAAAGGGGGAGCTGGACAAGAACATTTGGGGGGGTTGGAGAATCCCACCCCTTTGGCAGAAGTAGACAATACAGCACTGAGCCTAGTAGTGTGTCTTTTCATATCATGAATTTCAAACATGTTTGGAAACAGACCCTCCTTCTAGGGTCTTGTATTTACTCACCTTACTCCTGGTGCAGTAAATCTGTTCTTCATAGTTAAAATAGAGAAGTTTAATGTGATTCTTTATGTCTTTTATGAGCCCAGGGGGTAGCTACGCATCAAACAAAGAACAGAACAGCTCATGTTAGCTGACAAGAAATGAAATCATCCACTTCCCAATTACCAACCCTGTCCAGAGAGACACATTTCTGAACAATGACTTGAAAAATTCCAACTTCCATGTTTTGAGCAAATACCCAGACTGAAACACAGGGCCAGAAAGAGGTTTCTAACTCCTGAAAGTGCATTCATCCAGTCAATGACAGGATTAGTATCTTGTTTATGTGACTCACCCACTACATATAACTCAGCCATTCTCCTGCCAATTCCAAACATAAAGGAATCACAGTTCTCCCCCCAGCTCTACTGTCCCACAAAGCCCACAATTTAGCTCAGGTTATTTCCATTGTAGCTGCTTATCTACATTAGGGCTTCCAGCATTTCTCACATGGGTGAAGCAACAGCCGGTTTTTCAACTGTGGGACACTAAAAAATGTGTCTCTTTTGTGCACAAGGCTGTAAAGAGATGGCAGATTTAAACAGGTTACGCAGCTTCCTGCCACTACCTCAGTCCTATCACGCTGTAATGTTAAATACCTGTTGGCTTGTGGTTTCTTTCCAAAATGGAATCTCCAGGAGTTCAGAGATTTGATTCATTTTTTGTGACAGCTCTTCTTCACATGTGGAAAACACAGCCTGGGGGCAAAGAGATCACTGTCAATACCAATTTACCAATATCTGCACAATTGATGCAGCATTTACCAACAGCCATTACTCCATTTCCGTACACTGTGTTGTCCTCTTAATTACACAGTGATGATTTTCCCCTCAATACACCCAGCCTTGGAGCAACAATGAGACATCAAAGCTAATCTCCTGTGTGTCAGGGCAGAGTGCCTGCTAATCACAACGAACCCCGATAAGATGCTGTAGCAGTCTCAGCTGATGCCTAGCTAACCAGCTCTTCTGGATGACAGGAGTGTGCAGCACCATTAGCTTGGGCTCCATGGCATTCTACACAGGCCATGCTGGGCTGGAAAACAACAGCTAACAACTGAGTAACCAGCCCTAGTGTGGCACTTCCCAGGGCTACTCAAGGGAGCCAGATGCCTCCCTGTTACCACCTGCCCTTCATATGTGGAAATCTCATCTGTGCTTGCTGTGGATCAGCTCCCTGACTCCCCCAGACTCTGGCAAGACAAGCTCTCCCTTCCAGGCCTCCTGAGTCTTCGGTTCTCTATACAGATCAGCAAGAGACGCACACCAACCCCCAACTCCCCTGTCCATCCCTCCTGTCACTAAGGCCGTGTCCAGACTCAAAAGTAGCCTTTTCCTGAAAAAACTTCCCCTGCGTCCAGACTCAGCCAGGCAGCACCATTGAGTCGGTGCTTTTCTCTTTGAGTCTTTAGGCGGTATAACGGTGTTTGTACCATGGAGCTCTGAGATGTCTGGGTACTATGCTTTGGAGCCACCAGTACTGAGGTGAGCAAACACACCAGGGATCCCCTCTGGGAAGTCCAGGGCTCCTGTCACTAAGAGAGTCTCACAGCCCATTTTCTGTGAAGACTTTGTAGGAGGAGTCAGTTGACTTTTTTTCGTGCTTCAACCCTCTCCCTAGATGTTGAAGGCTCCAGGAACAATGTTCATCCTGGAGAGGATTCAGGGGACCAGGCTCAGATGTCAGTCCGAGAGCACCCCCCATGTGAAGCTCTAACTAGACCTCCTGATTCTTTGGGATCTAGACTTTAGCTGTTGGCAGAAAGTCCACTTCTGGGGAATACATGCCACTCCAAGGCATCGGACCCAACCTGAGTGTCCCTCAGTCACCAGGATAGCCTCCCTGAAGGAAAGGCACCTTGCAGTCAGGGGAACCCAACATGCCCATACAAGAGTGATCCCACAGCAAAAGGGGGGGGATGATTAAAGAACAGGATTTTTAAGATGGTAAAACAGAAGCTCTAAAGCAAGGGCGGGGAACCATTAAAGAACAGGATTTTTAAGACGGTAAAACAGAAGCTCTAAAGCATGGGTGAGGAACTTTTCTCTATCCAGGCCATTGACCCATAGAAAAAAAATCAGTTGAGGGCCACATACAGCCCCATAGGGAGGCTTGGGGATTCCCCTAGGATCAGAGGTGGGATCCAAAATGAAAGCTTCAGGCTGCAGGAGTGGGTTCTGGGCTGGGATAGGAGGTTGGAGTGTGTGTGTGTGGGGGGGGTGAGGACTCCATCTGTGGGGGTATGCTCTGGAGTGGGTCCAGGGATGAGAGGTTCGGGTTACAGGGGCTCTGGGCTTGGGCCAAAGGATCTGAAATGCAGAAAGGGGTTCCAACCTGGGGCAGGGGGTTTGGAGGCTCCAGGTGGCTCCTGGTCAGCAGCACAGCAGAACTAAAGCAGTCTCCTTGCCTGCCCTGGCTCCATGCTGCTCTTGGAAGTAGTTGGCATGTCCGGCCCCTTATGTGGAGGCAGAGGTGCAGCCGGGAAGCTCTGTATATTGTGTGCTGCCCAGAAGGGAAGGAGCTACCCCCCCACCACAGTTCCCATTGGCTGTGGTTTCTGGCCAATGGGAGCTGTAGCGCAGGCATTGGCAGTAGGGGCAGTAAGGGTGTTTCTACACAGCCCCCTAAACTCAAAATAAGATACTTAAAATTGCGTATCTTACTTTGAATCTATCTTGAAATGATGCACTATTTAGAGACATTCCGTAACCCTCATGGAACTAAAATAGCATGTCTCTTATTTAGAAAAATATTTCAAAATAACAGGCGGCTTGTTAAGATGTGGGGTATCCCGAACTAGCCGTGCAGTGTAGATGTACCCTAAGTGGAACTTTCCTGATGGCCTCTGTGCCTAAGGGCCACAGAGGCATGCCAGCTGACTTTTAATGGCCTGGCAACCCTAGATTTCCCCCGCTGCAGGGGAAGCCACCACTCATAGCTGCAGCTCCATGAGAGGGAGGGGCACTCAGACTTGCAGTTTCTGGCCCGTGGCACAGAGACTAGCCCCACACTGGATGAAATTAAGCAATAGGCCGGATCAGGCTGCAGGCTGTGAATTTCCTACACCTGCTCTAACAGCACTTGAACAGAAAAGGAAACTAAGAATCATTATGAAATGTTTTACCCATAGAAACAAAGTTAAGTGACTAGACTCTACATTCTGTTTGAGGCCAAAGGTGATCAAGAAAGAACTGAGAGTAGTTTGCAGGGCTGTTCTTAGGATCTATGGGGCCCTACACAGGCTTATAAAAGGGTGCCCCACTGACCCCAGTGTGTCGAGGTGGCACAGACTCTGGACTGAACCTGTGCGGGAGCAGGACTGCTCCATGCCAACCCACCCACCCACTTGCTCGCTCGCCCATGCCATAGGCAAAGCTCCTCGGGGCCAGTCCTCTGCACCCTGTGTGGAGAGAGAGTGAAGCCAGGTGAGCGGAGAGAGTCCCCATGACTCAGCCATGCTTCCCTCTCTCCTGGCCCAGCTTGGCTCCTCCATCTACTGCCAGCTGCTTTTTACAGGGCCAGTGCCACTGACACCTGGGGGAAGGTCAGCACTCACACATACAGAGCCCTGCTCCCCCTCCTAGCCCCTAATCCCTGTATCTCATTACTGCTAACCCCTGCATCCCCTTCCTGCACCCACATGGGGTACTTGTCCTGGATGCACAAAGCGGCCGGCCTTGCTGCTCACTCCCCTGGCGCTACTGTTCCTCTGCCCCAGCACACCCCTGGAGCGCAGTAAGGGGGCAGTGAGGAGCAACATCAGGGATCCCTGCATCTGAGTCACTTTCCCTGCCTGGGCTGTGTAAGGAGAGGGCTCGAGAGCAGCAACTCCTGATGCCTCACAGCACAAGCCAGGTGGGGAAAGTGACCTGAATGCAGGGACCCTGGTGTGAGTTGGGGAGGGGGAGACTGTGTGAGGAAGATTGTGTGTGTATGTGTGTGTGTGTGTGTGTGTGTCTGGGTAAAACCAGCTAATACAATCCACAGCCGGCCAGATATCAGCCATGTGCAGCCCCCACTAAAATGGAACCATCACACTCTCTCCTCCCTCACATTTCTCACGTTAAATATTTGTATGAAATTGGAGCAAATTTAAAACTGGTTTAAAACATTTTAAAATAAAAAAGATGAAAACATTTAGTATGGAAAAGACACTGTGGTCTTGCTAGTTCTTCCCCCCAGACAGAGAGACACAGAGACCAGCTGTACACTCGCAAAGATCAAGCCAACTCTCCAAACTGGACCTGACCCACATCTGTCCCCAAACCAGGAGCACTAGTGATGGGGGGGGGGGCATGTGGCAGGAGGAACCAACTAAAATGGAACCATCACACTCTCTCCTCCCTCACATTTCTCACGTGAACTACCAGGGCTTGAATTAAATATTTGTATGAAATTGGGGCAAATTAAAAACTGGTTTAAAACATTTTAAAATAAAAAAGACGGAAACATTTAGTATGAAAAAGCCACTGTGGTCGTGCTAGTTCTTCTCTCCAGACAGAGAGACACAGAGACTAGCTGTACACTCACAAAGACCAGGCCAACTCTCCAAACTGGACCTGACCCACATCTGTCCCCAAACCAGGAGCACTAGTGATGGGGGGGGGGGCATGTGGCAGGAGGAACCAGGGGAGGTCTAGTCCTTCCCAGGGTGCTGGTGAGCTGGGGTGGGGCAGGGGGAATGGAGTCTCCAGTTACTTGGAGGCCCAGACAGAGGGGGGCTCACCTAGGGCAGGGATCACCACTAGCCAGGGTGTCTGTCCACCAGGTACTAGTGAGCCCTGGGCTTCCCAACCTCTACATTCAAATACTGATGGGGCGGGGCTGAGGCCAGTGCATGGGAGAAAGCTGGTAGTGAGGCGGGGCTGAGGTCAGTGCATGGGACAAGGCGGGAGGGCTGCACGGCATCACCCTCCAGCAGTACAGGACAACTGGGTACTCCAGCAGTCTGCAACAGCCAGAACCCCCCGGGCCTGATGCTGAACTTCTTCCATTTTCCCCCCAAGGGGTAGAAGCCTCTTTAGGTGGGAGGACTTGGGGCCAGAGCAGAGCCACAGAGGCTGAGCAGGGTTCTTCTCTGCCCCAGCAAAAGGCTTGGCCAAGAGGAGCAGGGTGGGGTGGGGAGAGGGGCTGCAGGAGGAGGAAAGGGCATGCAGCCCTGCCTCAGGGTGAGAGAACCCCAGTGGGGCATTCCGGAAGAAGCAGGGAGAAGGCAGCCTGGCCCTGCCTCTGTCTAAGAGCAGCCCCAGGAACACACATAGGGGCATCTGCAAATTTGGTGCCCCAAATTTCTGGTGCCCCCTGCAGCTGTGTATTTCATGTATGCCGAGGGGTCATCCCTGGTCATTTGTCCACGCAACACTAGTTAGACTCAAGACAGACCACAAAGGAGTGAAAGCGTGTGCATGGTCCAGACATTGCAAGCTACAGTCTCTGATTACAGGCACAGCAGCACAGATATACCTACAATGGTGCATCCTTAAGGACACTACTCAAAGAAGAGCTCATATTCCCTACTCCCAGAAGAGTAATAAACCCCAGTTTACTAGATTCAACTCAAGATCACCTCTTCACTTAACACGTAGCACTTAGATATGTTGATATATATAAAGAGAGAAACAAGACTAATTTTTTTAGTTCAAGCACAGCAATTCGAATGATAGTCAGAATATTGGAAATAAAGTTACATAGAAAGCAAAATCAGAACATGCCTCCTAAAGCCTAAACTCACAAGCTATGGCATCATCTCTGACAGGATCACTTACTTCAAGTCCTTTTCCCAGCATTTTCAGCCAGGATGGCTGAGATTCCCCCTCCATAAGATCAAGCCCATAGGTAACTTGTCTTCAAACACTGAAGGATGCCAGATCATCTCTCTGTGCAACCCTACCCCCACATAGATGCCTGCAAGTCATCAGGGCCTGATGAAATGCATCCTAGAATACTCAAGGAGGTATCTGAGCCTCTAGCTATCATCTTTGGAAAATCATGGGAGACAGGAGAGATTCCAGAGGACTGGCAAAGGGCAAATATAGTGCCCATCTATAAAAAGGGAAATAAGAACAACCCAGGAAACTACAGACCAGTTAGTTCAACTTCTGTGCTAGGGAAGATGATGGAGCAAGTAATTAAGGAAATCGTCTGTAAACACTTGGAAAGTGGCAAGGTGATAGGGAACAGCCAGCATGGATTTGTAAAGAACAAATCATGTTAAACCAATCTGATAGCTTTCTTTGATAGGATAATGAGTCTTGTGGATAAGGGAGAAGCGGTGGATGTGGTATACCTAGACTTTAGTAAGGCATTTGGTACGGTCTTGCATTATATTCTTATCAATAAACTAGGTAAATACAACTTAGATGGGGCTACTATAAGGTGGGTGCATAACTGGCTGGATAACCGTACTCAGAGTGTAGTTATTAATGGCTCACAATCCTGCTGGAAAGGCATAACATGTGGGGTTCCGCAGGGGTCTGTTTTGGGACCGGCTCTCTTCAATATCTTCATCAACAATTTAGATATTAGTATAGAAAGTACGCTTATTAAATTTGCAGAAGATACCAAGCTGGGGG